GGCGGGTCTCGAACCCGCGGGCTCAGGCAATCCACTCACCTCAGCCTCCCAAAAAGGCGTGGGATTACAGGCTGAGCCACCGAGCCTGGCAGATAAAATATTTTCAACCAGACTTGCCGATCATGAGGTAGATCTGTTAAGAAAAGCAATTCTGCCGTTGATATTTCTCCCATTCTACCAATTTATCAACGTATGTTGATTGAAAGGCAATTCAGAACCATGCACTGTGTTTTAACTTAAATTCCTCATCCATTCATTTAAATAAACAGGCATGGATGCTGAATGTGGGGCAGGTATGTGAGTGAGTGTGCGCATCCATGAGCACCTCTGCAGGTAGATGCTGGGACATGGGGTAGAGGTGGAAGGATGGCAAGTATGACCAAAACTCGGTGGCTCTGCTGGAGGAGTTATATGCCTCATACTTAACTTGGTTTTTGTTTATAGAAATATATTTTCATATTTTTCTCCGCCTCAAATTAAAACAGTGACTGCACTCTTATCTCATTATAAATATAAGAAACTGAGATACGAACTCTCATCTAATTCTGTGCTAGCAAAGGGTTTGCTGTGGTGTTTCCAAGCAAACCCTACAAAGATGGAAACAAAAAAACTCAGAAAAAATACAGAAAATCAAAATGAGAAAAACCCAAAACTACGTTCCTGTTGGCATTTGTATTTGAAAACATTCTCAAGTCTAAGAGGAGTCCAAATTCTGCACTCCTTAGATGGCCTCTTTAGGTTGACTCAGATTCAAGAAACAAGCCTCTTGTTTCTTCAGCTCACACCCTCCACTGAGCCTGCCACTGAGCTGCACAGAACAGCACTGGTTCCTTGCAGGTAATTCTGTAACAGATTACCAACTGGTTGTTGCAATTTAAGAAATTCTGAAACTTTTTCTTAAATTCATTCAAGATGATGTATATATCTGAGTCTTTATTCCAAGTACAAGTAAAAATGCTATTTTTAAAATTTAGAATTTCATACTTGTTTATGCAATTCTATCAACTTCCTGAAAAGAACAAAATGTATGTGGCTTGAGGCTGAGGTGAGTGAATTGCCTGAGCCCACGGGTTGAGAACCGCCTGGGCAGTAAGACCTCTTCTCTACAATAAATCAAAAAATCAGCAGGGCGTGGTAGTGCATGCCTGTAGTTACAGCTACTCGGAAGGCTGAAGCGGAAGGATCGCCGGAGCACAGCAGGTGGAGGCTGCAGTGGCCGGGAGCGGCCACTGCACTCCAGTCTGGGCGACAGAGTGAGACTCCAACTCAAAAAAAAAAAAAAAATTAATTTTCTTGGTGCTCTAAATTTCCATTTATTACTTATACAGCACTACCACTGCATAAATCTTTATTTGGAAATTAAAATCAATCAAAGAATGAGAGTTCATGTTAAATGATGGTCACATGATGGTGAACTTGAGTGGTACCACATAATGAGGGACTATTATAATTTTGACTTTACAAAATTCAACTTCCTGGTAAATTAACTTCCAGAAAATTAAGAATGAAGGAACAACAATAATAAAAAAAGAGTAGAAAGATAACTGCTTATGGAGGATAATATAAATAATGCAAAAATTAAAGAGAGATAGGTTGAAGAGAGGTTTCTTCAGGCTTCGTATTATAAAGCAGGAAAAAAAAAACCAGGTAGAAATTAAATTAGAAGTGAAGCTCAAAATAGTGCTACTAAATTGGATGAACATGATTTTACAACTTGTCCAATACCTTTATTGATGTGCACAAAAGAAAATCTCTATTTGCTGGCATCATAAGCGAACTTGCCATTATTTTGATTATCAATAGCATGATTATAAAAATAGCAAAAAAAATTGTGATTTTTTCCATATGCCAGAGACATCCCCTCTGTTATTTTAATGCTATTTTATACCATTTCACAAGCCTCACAATGAGGCTTGAAGTGAGGGGCGATTGCCTACATTCACAGCAAATATAAAAATTGGGGTGAATTCTGAATACAACTCTGTCTTCATTCCAGAACACATGTTTAGGGATGTCCTGGAGCCGGTTACCACAGGCTTCTGAGAGCCAGTTTTACTTCCCAACTCTGCTATTGGTGATGTCTTGGTTGTTTGAAATCAGACATGATAGGGATATTTATACCACAGAAATCAACAAACACACAAATTGGGTATTTTTCCCCAGAGAACCAGTTTACCACTCAGGACATTACTGCATATGCTTTTTCCCACTGTGTCAGACTGTCTCCCACAAGGACATTTTTACAGTTCTGAAATAGTTTTTTTAATTCCTTAGATTCTAGTCATAGCAGCATCAGAAGAAGAGAGCTATGAGAAATCAATTCATTTGGGAGTTACTAGAAATAAAATCATGACAGCTCAGTATGAATGTTACCAAAAAATTATGCAAGATCCCATTCAACAGGGAGAAGGTAAGCATGACTATTTGATTCTAAATGCATTTGACATAACTTTTAAAAGAAAACAATTCTGTCAATCAGATCTCCTTAGGTCCGTTATTAAAAAGGGATTAATTGCTAGTTTTTCTTGTATATATGCAGTTTTAGTTATTTATGAAGAACATTTTATCTCCTCTTTAAACAAACTAATAGAAATATGTGACAGTGATCTGTTTAGTATCAATCTTTTTATGGTGTAAAGATATTTCAAATCAAGTATTAATAGTGACACAAAGACACAAGTCTTTAATTAAATCATGACTTCCCGTTTATATAATTTGTAACCTTTTTGCACAACCTTCTTGATAGAAACTTGCATAATAAAATAATAAATATAAATTTTTGTCCATAATACACATACTTTACATAGTACATTTGGTAGCAAAGCAAATAAAGTCTAAGTGCTTCTGTTCCCTTTAAGGTATTTCTTTGCTATTTTTGTAACATTTATTGAGGGTCTGCTAAGCACCAGACATTTGCCTAGATTCTGAAGATATAAAGATATGAGTAACACAAGTAGACTTGTCAGATTTAGCAAAACAAACACAGGTCCTATATTTTCTCTGGCAACCCTAAAGACAGGGTGGTCTTCAGAATATAAAATGTAAACTCACAGAGAAACAAAGCAAAACATAAAGACTCTTCAGATATTTTTCATTTTTAAACTCTTCCAAATAATCAAGATATATGTAAAAGTAGATTTTAAAATTAATTGTTGAGTGATAGGAATATCTTTATAAGAGTTTCAAAATAAAACAGTTCTGTGGTAAAATAAGTTTTGGATCACAGCACAATACATCTTCTTGAGACTTCACAATGCATTTTGTAATTTTGAATACTCTAAAAAGTCTTACAATAATCAGCTATTTTTATTTTTAACTTTGTGTCCCTGAAATCCATTTGATGAGAGAAACTTTTAAAATGGAAAACCTATTCACATCTCATTCAAATGCCATAAAACATAATTTGAAAATTTCCGGACTTTGCAATCTATCATGCTACCAGTGTGGTAGTTAATAAGACAGATTCTTTTGGAGCTATGATATGAATGCAATTGAGAGGCTCTCTAAAACTATATCAAGGATTTTTTTCTGATAGACTATAAAATGTATTTTAACTAGTGATATACGAATATAAGCTATTTAAGTAATTGTTTGCAAATCATAGGAGAGAAAATTTGGATTGTCTGAGGTGGTTTAGTTTAGTTTTTTTTAATTCAAATTACTTGGGCTGTCAAGTCATCAGAATTCTGTTCTCTTTTCATAAGGGTTAGATAAATTCTGAAATTGCTATGCAAATTTGTTAAAAGTAAAAACTATCTCATGTAGCATTCGGGATTCTATCTATACCTGACAAAGTAGAAAATTACTTTGTTTAATGATAAATTACTATAGTATTGGAATATCAGTCTTAAAGTTTATATTTTTGGATGTAAGAGGTTCTTTCTTTCATGTTGGAATAAATGTGAAGCTATTAAATATCCCACCTCATGTGAAAAGAAAAGGAAGGAAGAGCTAGAATTAGTGGAAGGACCTATAAATGTTATTTTTCAGGGTTAAGATGGTGAAATGGGAAAGACTGAACTAATCATTGTTTGCTTCAGAAAATACTACCACCTTGTCCTAAGAATATAGTTTCTAAAATAAGACATGTTTCTAATTTCTCATATTTTAAAAAAAATTTAGACCACTAATTATACACTACTTTGTGATTAAGAACAACTGAAAACGCCACGCGATTTATTAAACAAAGTTTTGTTTGAGAATTATAATTCAATCTAAATTGTATATATGTTTAGAAACTTCTAAATTTAGTTTAGAGATTATTCTAATAATTACTTGGCTAAAAAAAAAGACCAAGTAATTATTAGAATATAATATAGTTGCTATAGATCTTTATTCAGTATTTGCATTTTTGGTAGACAGCTCTTATTATATGTTAGAGTGAAACCACTTTTAAAATTATGTGTCTTCCTATATAACAAGAGAGAGTTAGTCAACCCTAGTTTTTCTTCCCCCTTGAAGGCGTCTACTGCAACAGAACATGGGATGGATGGCTGTGCTGGAACGACGTTGCAGCAGGAACTGAGTCGATGCAGCTCTGCCCTGATTACTTCCAAGACTTTGATCCTTCAGGTAAAAGCTGAAATGTATGTATGTATCTTCTTGACATCTGTTTAGTAATCCCAAGGTCAACTGAATTATTGTTTTCCTTTCTAATTTAAAAGAAAAAGTAACAAAGATCTGTGACCGGGATGGAAACTGGTTTAGACATCCAGCAAGCAATAGAACGTGGACGAATTATACCCAGTGTAATGTCTACACCCCTGATAAAGTGAAGGTACATGATAATTATGAATTGAAATATTATTTACTCTATTTGCACATTCAGTTGTCCAATACACTAAAAGAGAAAATCTAGTCAGCATTCTATTCCCTTATTAAGTCCTTTAATAATATATTTTGAGAAGAACAATAAAGAAAAATGTCTGTGGAAAGAATTATTATTGATTTTGTCATTACACTGAAGAAGCAATCCTCTTAGGCAATTGTTTATTTACCAGTCAATGTCTAAGTTTTAGAGTTTCAAAGTTTCCAAAGAAAACATACCTCAAAATTGTAAGACGTGAAAAATCTTGCACTTGTGATGGAATCTTATATTCTGAAATTGTGCTCAAGTAAGCAAGATAAGCCCAGCAGGTTTTAAACAGTCCTCTTTGTTCCTTAGCAGAAGGTTTTCATTCTAGACTGACTGTTAGGTCACTCACATCCATGTTCCCATTTTTAACACTATACTTAAAGTCAAGGTTAATTACAGTTTGTCACAATAATAAAGCTTTGGTAGAAAATGCTTGTATATATTTGGATTTGTATGCATTGAAAGGCAATGTGAAACCATGATTAAAATTGTGACTGTTCTAATGTCTGATTGCCTGTTTCTGCCCCTTACCAGCTGTGTAGCCTTGCACAAGCCATTTCACATCTCTGTCTCAGTTCCCTCATATATAAAATGGGGGTAAGCATAGATTTCACCTTCGTGGTTTTCCTAAGGATTGACTTCATACAAAGAAAATACTTAGAAGATTAGTATGCAGTCAACACCTGATGACTGCTGGTATATTTATAAATCATATATTCACTGCTTGTTCAGAGAAGGGTTGGAAGAGAATTATAAAGATATACAATAAAATAATAAAAAATGAAAGAGGAAAAGTCCAAGGAAGAAGGAACATATTCAAACAGATCATAGGTTCTTATAAGTTACCATATTGAGATTTATTTCTGAGCTTCAAATTTGTGAAACAAAAATGAGAAACCCAGTTGGGAAATAACGCCTTACCTGGCATTTAAGTCTGAACAAAACAAAGCATCAAGTACCATTTGATTTAAGGTATTCAAAATATAAAATGCTGGTTTTACATATTATACAACCTAGATTAATAAAATTATGACTTAATAGATTTAATATCAGTATTCTAATTTCATATGTAAAAGAACATACAATTTGTAAATGTTGATGTCAGTTGATAAATCTTCATAGATATTTTTCAATCTAGATGTGTTCAAGTATTTATTGGCTTGCAAGCTAATCATTATAAGGCTATCAGATCACATACTTTTAAAAGTAAAATTTATTCAGTTGAATTTGAACATCTACATATATAAGATTATAGATATTTACAGTATTGATATGTCTAATCTTTTTATTCATACGAATTATAGACTGCACTGAATCTGTTTTACCTGACTATAATAGGACATGGATTATCTATTGCATCACTGCTTATCTCACTTGGCATATTCTTTTATTTCAAGTAAGTATAAATTTCCCAGTTGTCTTTGGTGAATGCAGTGTCATATGCATATTTGTCAAGAGCTGATAATATACAAAATATAGATGATCTGTAATTCTTAAATTTAGTGTTTAAAATAAGATGAAATAAGTTGGTGTTAGTTTTGTAAAATATGTAGCAAATATTGACAAAAATCCTTCTTCAATTTTACAAAATTAGCAGGTATATAAGAATGAAATCAAATACAAAGGGGCCTAAACCAATATATAAATCTGACTGTATTTGCTTTAGGAACTGTCAAATGTCATAGGCCTTCTTAACTGAGTCATCAACATTTCGTTCAGTTTTAATAGCAGTATCAATGTGCATTACAAAAGCTAGAATTTTGTGCAAATAACAGTAATGACATTTAATATCTATGAGGGGGAACCCAAAAGACTTGGAATTTATTTATAACAAACTGTGTACTTATTCTTATATGTTTAAACTTCACCTTCAAAGTAATCTCTGTTTGATGCAATACACCTGTCGAGATACTTTTACCATGGCTCAAAACAGTTTTTGAACTCGTCAGTTTTGTTGCCTTTTAGTGCTTCTGCCATTTTTTGTTTCGCCTCTTCCACATGGGCCAAAACGTTCCCCTTTGAAGACATTTTTCATCAAGTACACAAAAAAAGTCACTTGGGGTGGGATGGGTGAATAGGAAGGATGGGGCACAGGGGTCATGCTGTTACTGGTCCAAAACTGCCGAACACTCAGTGGTATGTGGGTAAGTGCGCTCTTAAATCATCCTTCATAAAGTGGGGAAACTCTTGAAAGAATCTCTGAAAAGGTTCACTGAAGCCAAATGCAGCCTCTCACACAATGCCAGATGCTGTACTAATGCTGATGGGTTCCTAGAACACTCACCTAATGGGGAAGCCTCTACTACAAAGACTCCGTCCTCCCAAAAACTCAGTTTTGGGGGTCCCCTCTGGTATTATTGAAAATATAATCTAAGTATATTATGGCTAGGTTATTTTTCCTGATTTGGAGGATCATCATTATAAAGGTTAAGTTATACTTTCAATTTTGTTTATAATTTACTTCTTTTGGGGGGAGGAAGATTTAGCTCAAATTTTTTAATCATCCAAACAAGTAATTTTTAAATTTATAGAAATGTAAATTTCCAAATTATGTATGCATTATTTGGTTTTCACACTTTTGATTACCACCCATAATTATAGAATGCAGTGTGACAAGTATAAGTAGCTATATTTCCTTGTATCTTTATCAGTATTATTATCATCATCAACTCCTCCTCTTCCTCCTCCTCCTTTTCTCCTCCTTCTCCTCCACCTCTTCCTGCTTCCCCTCCTACTGCTTCTTCTCCTCTTCCTCTTTCTTCTTCATCAGCATCAACAATAATCTTGGCACATTATCAGGAACAGAACTATCTGAAGTAGCAGCACATCAAAATAACCCACATCCAGGAATTAGCAGATAGTTGGATATGTAACATATGTACATATGCACATATGTTACATATGTAACAGCAGCACCACCTTTTAGCCCATTTTTCATCAAAAAAGTCAGTCTATGTGAGTATCACTTAAGGAGCTAAATAATTTTCCATTTATTAGGCTTACAAAAATCTATAAATAATTTCTTTTTGGGCATTAACATTGCTTCCATTTGTTTTCTATTTGTAAAAAAACACTGCAATGGACATTTTCAATTATGACTTTTCTCATATTTTGCACTATTTTTTTAGACTACATTCCCAGAGTCTTGGGATTTCTTGATCAAAGGGTATACATCTTATTATGACTCTTGAAACACATAATCTCAAAAGTATCTCAAAATCAACATGTTGAAAATAAATTCTTAATATATATCTCCTCCTAACCCAAAGGTGGTTTTCTTTCAGAGTGACCCATCTTCACAAATGACACCACCAGAAATCCAGTTGCAGTGGCCAGAAATTTAGAGATAATCTGTGGTACCTTTCTCTACTTTTTCCTTCCTATCACTCTTTCCCCATACCCTTTGGGTTCAACCATTTGAAATCCTTCCAAACTATCCAATTTGCTTCGTCTCTACTGCCATCGTCACTGGTCTTATTCTACCTAACCTTAGTAAATTCACTTTCTCTCTCTTCATTTAAGTCTAAATAACGCATACAGAAAAATATTTCAAAGACTGGGATGAAATATAGACTTAATTTTGTCATCGCCTTTAAAATTTTTAGACTTCCTGTTGCAATTAATATAAAATCAGAATGATTAGTGTAGCCTGCCTGCATTTTGTCTCCTCTCTAGCATAATCAAATGTATTCAGACCTAACCTTAGCATCATTTCCTCAGTGAAATCTTCTTGAATTCCCGATTGTAGTATTTCTGAAATTGCAATCACTGAAAGCAGACATGGAGTCAAATTTTAATTATCATTTTGGAAGACCACCATCTCTGCACCTTAAAAACTATTACAAGTGAGACTCTTCAGATTAAATGGTCTCTTTTTATACTGCATGTGAGAAGCCAAAATATCTGAGTACATTAAATTTCTGAAGGAGATAAAGTTAAGTATAGCAATTATACTGCATGATAAAACCAGTAGTCTCCCAGAATTGGTAGCAATGGTCTCCTAGAATTACAATGGTTCCTTGCAAGTTTGAATTTGGTAAAGATATGTAAAGTCCTGGACCAGTTCCATAAAGTCAAATGCAAACTTTACAAATCTCCTTCATGTGAAAGACCCTAAGATTTAATGGAAGTAACACTCACTGTGAACTAATGAGGCAACAGTGGGGCTGCCAAAAGAAAACAATGTGCCAAACCAGACTTGACCAATAAATGTCCAGTCTTCAGTTCTAAATCTTCAATCGGGCCACTTATTCACCAGGTTCACTATGTAAGAGGAAAGCAGGGTGTCATAAGAATTGGCTTATCAGGTGAAAGAAATGAAGACAGTAATAGCAACAGTTCAGGGCATGAAAGTACCCAGACTGCTGAGTCAGAAAAAGACAAAATATAAAGATACAATATATGAGTTCAAGAATCCAAATGACTATAATTTGTAAAATTGTTTAATAACAAAGAGAAAAAAAATTGACTCAATTCAAAACAACCTAACAACCAATCTAAATGTAATGAGCCACTGATTGACCAGATGCCCTTCCTGTCACTCAAGATTTTCAGCCAACCTGTCAAGAATATTGAAGTGATTCCCATAGTGGCTTCTTAACTAGACATGAGGATCTTTAATATCTCTTCTAAGCCCAAGTTCTATGAATGAAGCAGTAACTTTGTAAAAAGGATTCAAAGGGAAGAGTCATTTTAAAATCAAAATACGTATTATAATCTCAATATCAAATAAGTTAGTATCTGCTAAAGTATTTTGAAGTATTTTGCAAGCTAAAAATAGTCTACACAGGTAAACCATATTTATTATTAATTAGAAATAGAGAAGCTCTCCGGTTCAATATTTTTGCATCTGTATTTATGTATGTTTTATTAAGAGTGCAAATAGGTCCAAAAGACATTATTTCATTGTTTTTGATGACTGAATAATATTCCATAGTCTATATATACTACTGATATTTACAAATAGTTTTAGTTGAAAGATTAACATTTAAAGCCTCAGATTTAGTTTATTTCATCTATGGGAAAGTACTTTTTTCATATGGAAATTGTGTGTATGAATACTAAGTAATTTGCTTTACAATGCAAGCTGTAGAAATAGTCCTAATTTCAAAGGAAGGGCTATAAATTTGGTGTTGTCCCAAATATGGTCCTGCTGTTTTACATATAAATAGGCTTGGTTTTTGGAAATCAAACACTATTTTTTTAAATATAGATTACTATATGCAATAAATACATGGATTTATTATTTGCTAAAATGCTCATGCTTTTAAAAAAGATATATAGCATGCTACACTGACAAAAACTTTTTAAAGCAAATAAGTATCTTGCTGATATAAGAAATTTGGTTCTTGGCCTCTATATAAAAGAAAAAAAAAGTCTTCAAATAATTACCATGGTTATATTTATGATTTATACCAAAAGTATAATTAAATGTTCATTCTCTATAGCAAACTAGAAGAAAAAAGAATCATTCAATGGTGAGCTAGTATGACAAGTATGTACTTGAATTCACTCAGAATAGATAGTGTAAGGCAGTAATTAAAACATGGGATATCGTCAAATCTTGTCATCACTTCTTATTAATAATATGGACTTAGCCTGATTCTGCTTTTAAATAAGCTTCAATTTTTATTTTGTTTGTTTTTTACAATGGGTTATTATTTTTTAAAAAGTACTGAGTAAAGCAGACTCAGTACGTGGCATTTAGGAACCGCTCAATAAAGAGTTATTAATGGTAAGAGGTATTGATTTTGTTATTATACTACCTCAATCATATATGCACATAGACAATACTTATGTAATCATCAAACATTACCCTGCATAATAATAATACAAGGTGGGGAAAAAAGTGTTATTATGGAGCTACAAAGAGCTATGAGAACACAGGCAAGAAAAGACTCACTCTGACTCATGAAATCAGAAGATTCCTGAAGTTATACTCTCATTGAACCAGCACTTCAGTAACGGGTAGAAATTGTAAACCAAAAGTAATCAAGAGATTATCTAGTCTAACACCAAATTTTACTTACTTTCTAATTAACTGATCAAGTTTTTCAGGGTTCCTCTTGATCCATGTTCTTTTTATTTGGCTTCATCATTTTAATTCACTTTAATTGTCTTTTAAAAATATAGAATTTGGGTCAGGTGCTCACACCAGTAATCCCAGCACTTTGGGAGCTCGAACCAGGAGGATTGCTTGAGGCCGAGTTTGAGACCAGACAGGATAACATAGTGAGACTTTGTCTCTAGAAAATAATTAAAAATTTATCCAGGTGTGGTGGCCTGCACTTGTAATCTCAGCTACTTGGTAGGCTGAGGCAGGAGGATCGCTTGAGGCCAGGCTGCAATGAGCTATAATCTCGCCACTGCACTCCAGTCTGAGTAACAGAGCAAGAC